TCTCCTGAGACTTAGATTCATATCTAACTGGGGTTTCCACAAAATCATCAACATGATGACTAAAAAAACTAAGTGGAGGAGGGGCAACGTGGTGGCACAGTGGTAAAGTTGGTACCTGCAGCACCACCATCCTATGAGGGTGCTAGTCTGAATACTGGCTGCTCAACTTCCATTCTAGCTCCCTGTTCCTGGACAAGCTGTGATGGATGACACAAGTCCGTGGACCCCAGTACCTACATGGGAGAACTAGAAGAAACTTCTGGCTCCCAGCTCCAGACTGGCCCAGCGGAAGCAGTTGTAGCCATTTGAGGAATAAGCCAATAAATTAATGATCTCTCTCTTCTTTCTTTCTGTCTCTGTAACTGTCTTCCAAATAAACAAATAAGCCTTTAAAAGAAAAAACAATTGAACTTCTATCCTGTGTAAGGCTGCCACCACTCACGTGTTCACTAGAGCAGGGGGACTCCACATGTCACTCAGGTCTCTCGCAAACCTGATCTCTCCATCCTGAGATTCGGCCTCTGCTTCCGCACTTCCTGCCTGCTCTTGTCACATGCTGACTGCAGGTGCTGTGACCTCTGCAGGCTCACTCGCACAATCTACCTCCTTTCTGTGACTCGGGTTCTGCAGCTGGCAGGATCTAACATGCATTTGCTATCTGACTGCCTTGTGCACGTGCTTCAATATAAAGTTTACATTCCTCATCTAGGCATCCAGGGCAGCCCATGGGAGCTGTTCCCTGCATCTGTTTCCATTTCTCAGCTGCTGCCTGCCTCCTAACCTATGCCGGCACTTTATTTCCACACATGCCCTTTGGCTTCTTTGCCTGGCCCTGCTCAACCGCTCAGACTGGGTTAACAGCCTTTCTCTCTCACTGGCACTTACCAGGGGACACTGCAATAGCTCCCAAACCTGTCTTTCACTTACGGAATTATCAGGTCATCTTTGCAGCTCTAGCATCAGCACAACACCTGGCACTCAAAATAACTTTCTGACAAGTTGATGGATGAATACACCCATCAAAGGGAGATAATTAAGGAATACCGGGGGGATGACGCTGGAGCTGGGAAGGGAAACAAAGTAGTAGGTCTTTGACTCAAGGATGCTCTTTCCATCCAAAGACTCTGTTGTGGCCTTGCAGGTGGAGCTGCATCAGACAGCAAAGATGTTAAGTGTCTAAAACACTCTAATTGTAAAGCCTCTGTCCTTTCTGGAAATGTTGTGTTAGTAAGAAATACTAAAGGAGAGTTGATGTGATATTTAAACGGAAAAGAGTCATGGGAGAAATGCACGTATATGTCCTTCATAGAGAACTATAAAGAAGCAGAGAACTACTTATTTCTATAATAGGGCAAAGCATAAATACACTACCTTCATGTAAAACTATTTCAAACCAGGAAGAATGATTTCTGTCTCTTTGGTTCTTTTTTTTTTTTCCTTTTTAAAAAAAGTTTATTTTGACAGTCAAAGCTGCTCACAGCTATAAATAAGGAGGCAGAAATGTCACATCTATTTGAATTACATCCAGTCTGTGTTGATTACTGCCTACACGTGCGAACCAGGAAGACAAGATTTTCATTCACACAAATTGTCCTAAGTCTGAGGTTTTATTTTTCTGGAGGCTAAATAATATGGTATATCTGTTTGGCTTGATGAAATTTCCCACATCTTAATTGAGTACTCACAGAATTCAGGGGAAAATCTGCTTTCCATATCATAAATTTGGGGCATTGGTAAACTGATAAGGCTTATTAATAAGCCAGTAATAATACAGTTAGTAACTATATCATTAATTTCAGTCTTAATTTCAAACAAGGACATTAAAAATGTAGTTAATTGGGCCTCACATGATAGCCTAGTGGCTAAATCTTCACCTTGAACGCGCCAGGATCCCATGTGGGCACCAGTTCTAATCCTGGCAGCCCTGCTTCCCATCTAGCTCCCTGCTGTGGCCTGGGAAAGCAGTCAAGGATGGCCCAAAGCCTTGGGACCCTACACCCACATGGGAGACCCGGAAGATGCTCCAAGCTCCTGGCTTCAAGTTGGCCCAGCTCTGGCTATTGGGGCCATTTGGGGAGTGAACCATCAGATGGTAGATCTTTCTCTCCTTGTCTCTTTCTCTCTGTATATCTGCCCTTACAGTAAAAAACAGACATGTTTTAAAAATAAGGTTCATTTAAGACATTTAGTTTGGAAGATTTATGGAGTTCAGGCTTTGCTTGATCTTCCTCTGTAGTATCGCATGTGTGAGAGATGCTTATCAGTGACAGAGGCACATTATATATCCTTCAAAGTCTCAGCAGCACTTGACCGTGAGATGGGCCCTTTATCCACACAATAGAGTTGTTGGGGAATTAAAGAATATAGCACTCTTTTTATTGTGATTGGCAGATGGCAGACCACTCAGTCAGACATTGTTAATATTTGCATATCTAGTGCTCATATGCCTTGGTGAAGGGATCTTTTTATTCTCAACCTATTCCTAGATAGATAAGACTGCTATTGTACATATTAGATCAAAAAGGGAGTGTCAGTTGAGTAATGTAATTCAAAGACAGAATCAGAGATACACTGGGAACCAGAGTGAACACAGCGAGCCTGAAATGAGACACTGTTAGAGTAAGAACTAGGCTTACGAAGCAAATCCACGCACTTTGGGGAGGTTTTATGTCTGCTCAACTGCACGAAATTAGCATTGAGTAGCTCCGAGTACACCATAGGCCAAAAGCATGCACTGCTTCAGGTGAATCTCTCCCCCAAGGGTTTTCATCAGTTCTCACACGGATTGAAAAACAAGCACCTGCCTGTTCTTCCATGCAGATCCAAAGCAAGCTGAAGAATCCTTTACGGTTTTTCTCTGAATTTTCCTTATTTTCACTCACAGACTTTTTAGAATGTATATTCTGAATCTCTTGTCTGTCTTGGAGTACATATCATATTTTCTCTGCTCTGTGAGCGTAGAGCACAGCAGGTCACTGCTATTCAGAATGGCTCTGACTCTTGCTACCTTACTCTTAAATAGTCGTTGATAGAAAATCTTCTGTTATCCCGGATGCTCTTCAGTATTCACATTATTATTATCCTTTGGAATGATGACCAGGCAGTGAGAGTCCTCATATGTAATGGAAGTAAAATTTACTACTATCTATCCAACTTTTAAAATTTTGAATGGAAGTTATTGTAGAAAACTGGGTGCACAGTTTCCTTAAAACATTAAGAGTCAGAATGGCCGGATTATAACTGAATTCGACGGGATTTGCTAACCTCAAGAAACCATGTGCAAAGATACGTCATTCCCATAGAAGCCGTGGGAAGGTCTGTTAGAATGCTGTCAGAAACATGTTGGCACATAGAAAGAAATCTGCATCTAACAGAAAGTTACTAAATGGGAATTTCAGTTTAAATGTCCTTGTTCACAACTTTGCAGTATTGGCAATCCTTCCACTAAATCTAATCAATGATAAAATGACTCAGTCTGAATTTCAGAATCTGAGAGAAATTGAAGCATGGTTTTAGGAGCTGTGACAACCCTTGTGATAACTACAACAAATAACCTTCATTTTTGCTTCTATTTAAATTGTAGGCAAACAAATCTCACTTCTCTGAGAAATCGAGTTTATTCCAACTGAAAAAAACAGTCTTATGTTAGGGAGTCCAAACTGAGGTATCCCCTTGGGGCAACAGTCAACCTACCTTCAAAGAGGAAGGAAATGAGGGACCGAGCTTCTGTTCCACAATCTGGAATTGCTCTACTCCATTGTCAACTGAAATATGCTCTAGGCTTTACAAGACAGTTTAACTATCACAAAGCCCCAAATCCAGAAAACAGATTGCTAAAAATCACAAGGATATAGTGAAACAATCTGATTCATTAATCACATGACAGAATGATACAAGCCATTTTGGAAGACAGTTTGGTGTTTTCTTATAAAATTTAATAAGCTCTTACCACGTGACTGTTCAATCAAGCATTCTGTCATTGACCCAAAGGAGTTGTAAACCTTATGTCCACACATAAACCTGCACACTTACGTTATTCATAACTACCGGAACATGAGAGCAACTAAAATGTCATTCTGTAGGTGATAAACAAATTGGTACTAGTATTCAGCACTCTAAAGAAAGCCACTATCAAGCTGTGAGAATACCCAGAGGAGTCTTGGTAGCATCATATTTCTAAGTGATAAAGGCTAGCTTGAAAAAGCTGTCTTTTGTGTACTTCATTTAAATGGCCCTGGGACAGGTGAGAGCATACCAGGTAGTAAAAGATGCGTGGTTGGCAGTGATTTTGAGGAAGCACAGAACAGGTGAAGTCCGGTGGGGTTTTAGGGCAATAGCACACGTGCTATCCCACATGTGTTCAAAACTACACCATGTACCAGAGGTCAAGGGTGAACCGGACTGTCCATTATACACCTTGAGTCACGATGTGCCAATTTAGGATCGACATCACAGCAGCGCATTGTTCTGTTACAGGTTTCAGGCTATGGGGAAACCGTGCTTCTTTCAGAGTAGGGAGGTTACAGAACCCTCTTTAAAAAAAAAAAGCACTGTAAAGTTAGCCTTTTACTTCATGCTGAGATTGAAAATGTAGAGAGCTAAAAGCATAAGCTTAAATGTGTGGTTGTCTTGATCATTTATTTTAAAGACATTTAGTTATCTGAAAGGCAGAGTGGCAGAGAGAGGGCCAGACAGAGAAAGATCTTCCAACCAACGGTTCATTTACCAAAAAGCTGTAATGGCTGGGGTTGGATGAGGCTGAGGCTAGGAGCTCAGAATTCTAGCCCAATCTCCCAAATCAGGTGTTACAGCCCCTACTTTCCCAAACACTTTAACAATGGGTTGGATTGTTGGCCAAGTGGCCAAAATTCCAACTGGGATGCAGAGGTTTAACGTACTGTGTCACAATACTAGTCCCTAACAACATTTTAATTTTATTAAACTAAAAAGAAAATTCTATTTTTAAAATAGCATACATACAACATAAACATGTTGCTTACAGTTCTGGAGGCTGGCAAATGCAGGATCAAACACCAGTGGAGTCCGAGAACTTGTTCCCTGGTGCCATGGCACATCCTTCTGGCTGTGTCCCCACCCGACCAAAGGGGCAGCAAGACACCTGCTGAGATACACCTGCAAAGCGATATGGCTGAAGGAACTAAGGACTTTGCATGGACACTGTCTTATTTTCTGTTTCTCCTTCTATGTTACCTTAGGTGGACCACAACTTCATGCCTCATTCACTGTTACAAAAGCCAGTGTTCCATCAACTGACTGTTCTCCTTAAATACAGTTAGGCTTGTAACTTGGTGTCAAAGGGAAACTTGGCGTTATCTGAATAAACATGTAACTACCACTATTATTTGCTGAAACACAAATCTGCAAATATTCAGATGACCTTTTAAGGAACTGGGAGGTTTTGGAGTTAGCCAGAACCAGGCTCAAATACTGGCTCTACCAGTTCCTGGCCCCAGCACTTGAGAAGTTCCTTATCATCTGCCAGTTAAAGATACTTGTATCATTAGAGACCCGCCCACGTAGGAAGTACTTAACAACCCCTCTCCTTTCCGAACTGCCTCCTAGGCAAATTCAAATTTAGCTTTAGTATTCTAAAGCCTAGTATTCTTATTACAATATTCTAATTTGAAGAATCAAAAAGGCTTGTTTAATTGATTTAATATGTGCAGATGTGATAACTAAACAATGGAGAGAATTATTGTGGTATGTTCACTCTTATTTTCTAAAGATTTATTTACTTTTGTTTGAAAGGCAGAACTACAAGAGACAAATGGAGAGACATCTTCTAGCTACTGGTTCACTTCCCCTGGTCAGGGCTGGGCCAGGCTGCAACCAGAGACCAGAGATTCTTCCAGGTCTCCTCCTGGGTACAGGGTCCCAAGCACTTGGGCTCTCATCTGTTGTTTGTCTGGGCCATTAGCAAGGAGCTGGATTGGAAGTGGAGCAACCAGGGCATACTCTGTAGGTTGCTGTTGTCACAGGTGCTGGCTTTATCCACTGTGCCATAATGCTGCCTCCTATTTACTTATTTTTGAAGTTGATATGATGGCTGTGTCTCACATGAGACCATCACAATTGAGCCATCACAATTCTGTTGCTTTCTGAAAGCCACACAAAACCCACCTGCTCAGCAGTTCTAAGTGGTCAGTCGTGGTTTCCTTTCAAGGCGTAGTAGTCTGTTATACAAGAATTTGTTACCAAGCCTTGGAAATCATTGTTCTAAAAGAATTCCCCAGGAGTGAATTCTGATGCTGGTAGTAGATGAGAGTATTGGGAAAGGAATACAGCTTTCCGTTTTCTCCCTCCCAATTTTTACTTCAAGTTAATCTCCTTGAGAGCCTAAAACAAAGCAGCTTTCACAAACACCAGGCACATGCGGGGCCTGCTAATGCAATGTTATGGTTCAACATGTAAATGTATCAAAGGTCAAGTTTCAGAGACAGTTCCCATAGCGATTGTAACTTGGTCACTTCCACAGCAACTATTTGCAGCGTATCTACAACCAGAGAAGGTGTGTCTGTAACAGCACCGGTCTTTTCCGTCATTTCAAACTTCAGGCTACAGTGTTTTATTTTCTAAAACAAATCACTATTTACAAAACGGTCAGATTTCATGTCTGTTCCTGAGAGCTCTTCAAACTGCCCTGGCTATTTTGATGGCGATAGCATGTGCTACCCCACAAATGTCCACGTTAGCTCACAGCAGTATAAAAACAATCTTCCATTTGGATGGAGAAACATCTGCAGTGAACTCTACTTGGTGAACTAGAGGACTATTTTTCTGCAGGTTTATCTTCTGAAGGGAGAGACAGACATGAAGAGGAAGCAAGAGAGAGAGAGAAAGAGATTTTTCTATCTTCAGTTCATTTTCCAAATGGTCACCATTAGCTGGGACTGAACCGGGTAGAGGCCAGGAGCCAGGAACTCCATTTAGGTCTCAATACACGGGTGGCAAAGACACAAGCATGGGAGCCATCATTTACTCCCCAGGACTGTTAGAAGGGAGTCAGGCAGAAATGGAGTAGCTTCGATATGGGATTTAGGTGTCCCAGGTAGCAGCTTAACCCACTGTGCCAGCACACCCACCCCTAGAAGGTGCTATTCATCACTCAGCAAAGGAATACAAAGTGAGAAACACCTTAAAGAGAAAGGCAGAAAGCCAGAAAGAAGACTGACCTCAAGTAAAGGGTGGAGTTTTATGGAAACTATGAAAATGAAGCATGCAATAGAAACATGGGGTAAATTTCATTCTGAAAGAGAGAATCTCTCTCATGGAATGGAAGAAGGCCAAATCCTTCCTCGCAGGGTGCAATGTCATCGGAACAACAGCCAGGAGCCCTGAGCGGTCTGCAGAAACAGAAGAACAGTAAACTCCCTTCGGGACTAGGGAGAGGAGCTTTCTCTGGTCCTTGCTTAGTTCCAACTTTGGATCCCAAACTTCTCCTGCAATGACCATCAGGGTCGCCCTGGAGCCGCCCCCCCCCAAGAAAAACAAAACAAAACAAAACAAACAATCTATAACAAAATAATTACAATAGACAGAGAACAACAAGGAGAGCTTAGAACCAGATAGAAAATGGTCAGCGGGGACTCATATATACCTTACTAGATAGGACACAAAAATTACTCCTAACTGGGATATTGAAGATTTCTCTGCACACTCCTCCTAAAATTGTTCTGTGTCTCAACTGTTGACATATGCCTTGTTAAAGTTATAAGCCAGTTTGGACTATCCTAAAATCTGCCAAGTTCAGTAAAAATTATGCTTCAATAAACAGCTAAATACAAAAATGAAAATAGACATGAGATAGCTGAATAGTTCCCTATAGCCATTTTAAAGTGGATAGAAGCCGGTTGTATATAAACTTAAATTGAAACGTCAATGAAGTAGTCACAGGATGTGGTTAAGAACCTGCATTTTCTAACATATTAGTCACTCAATACAATGTCAATTAACCCCATAATGTTGTAAACCGTTATTGATGTTATGTTATGTCTTTTAATTTGTTGGAACGATATTCTGCCAGCTCTGCTTTCAGACCAGGGATGGTCTCCCAAAGAAACTATTGAATTGATCTGGACAATAAGATGCTGGACTCTGTGCATGGCACATGCTTGCAATGAAAGAAACAAGACTGGATTTGAACTGTAATACTGCAATAAGGTGGAGGAATCCACAATGGGGGGAAGGGCATGGGGAGGGGTTGGAGGAACCTTAGAGCCTATGAAACAATGTTATAAAATGAAACGCAATAAAAAAATATGTGAGGGACTTTTATAATATACTTGGCAAGAGAACTGGAAATGCAATAACTACAGTTTTATTAGACAAGAATTAGTCATAGCTTAACCTGTAGTGTTTGTATGCAGTGACAACTCATCATGAAGCCAGAATCGCAATGGGGAGCTGAATGGCCTGGTCCATATAGTCAACGTAAGGTAAGTTCTACAACGTCCAGAACAAGGGCCAGCACAGTGTAGCTCAGGAGCCTGGGCCCATCGCCTGCATTTGCTTTTTTTAAAATTTTTTTTAAAGATTTATTTTTATTATTTTTTTATTGGAAAGGTGGATATACAGAGAGGAGAGACAGAGAGGAAGATCTTCCATCTGATGATTCACTCCCCAAGTGAGCACAACGGCCAGAGCTATGTCGATCCAAAGCCAGGAGCCTCTTCTGGGTCTCCCACATGGGTGCAGGGTCCCAAAGCTTTGGGCCGTCCTCGACTGCTTTCCCAGGGCCACAGGCAGGGAGCTGGAAGGGAAGCGGGGCTGCCGGGATTAGAACCGGCACCCATATGGGATCCTGGGCATGCAAGGCGAGGACCTTAACCACTTGCGCCACCACGCTGGGCCCCATTGCCTGCATTTGTAACCAGAACTGGGTAGGAACTTCTCCAGTCCCAGCAGCTCACAAATTGTCTTGGTTTCTTTCAGCTGCGATGGCAGGCAGGGTTGAACAACAGACATCGCTGAGTTGACAAAGCCTCAAATATTTGCAATTTGGAGCATTCCAGAAAGTTTCGATTAAAGCAGACATGTATATTCATCATCTTGATTATACATACTTCATTTTGATTAAAGGAAGAAATAGACACAAACCAAAACATAGTAGAAAAGGCGACTTTTTATTGTGTTTTGGAAGGATATAATTTCCCAATCTTTGCTAAACCATGGGTAACTCATACTCGGGAAAATTTTCAGACGAGATATTATGACTGCCTTGTTCCCACAATCCAAAGCAGTGAGGTACAGGCGCCACATGCCTTGCAACCTGCGTCTCACTGGCCTTGTAGACCTAAGGTCTGCAAATACAAAACTTCAAGAAGTCAAGTGGCTGCATGCTTTATGAAGATATATGAAGACTTAACGAAACATTATTGTATCATATCCAAAGCAATTGCTACTTACTAACAGCACTTGGAAGCACACTGCCAGAGAGAAAGAGAGAGAGGGGCAAAGAGAGAGGGAGAGCTCCAATCTGCTAGTTCACTCCCCACGTACCTGCAGGATTCTGCAAAGCCAGCAATGTGGGAGACCCAGAAGGAGTGTTTGGCCATTGGTTCTGTCTGGGCTAGCCCTTCGCAATTGTGGCCATTTGGGGTGTAAACTAGCAAATGAAAGCTCTCTCCTCTCTCTCTCTCTCGCTCTTTCCCTCTCTCATTCTCATTCTCTCTCTGTCACCCTACCTTTCACATAAATAAATATATATCTTAAAATTTCATAGATTTGGGTCTGGAGAGATTGCTGCACTGGCTTATTTTCTACATATAAGTCAGCATCTAACATGGGTACCGTTTCCTGTCCCAGCTGCTCCACTTCTGATCTAGCTCCTTACTTGTGACCTGAGAAAGCACTGAAGGATTACCCGAAGCCTCGGGACCCTGCACCGATATGGAAGGCCTGGAAGAAGCTCCTGGCTCTTGGTTCTGAACAGACTCAACTCTGACTGTGATGGGCATCTGGGGAGTCAATTAGCAGATGGAAGATCTTTCTCTCTCTCCGCCGCTCCTTCTCTTATGTAAATCTGCCTTTTGAACATAAATAAATCAATCTTAAAAATTCTCATAGATTCACATTTGACAACCCAAATTAAACAAGAGAGCAGAGAACTAGATCTTAACTAGGATAATAATTACATACTTTCTGGGCCTGGTGCAGTAGCCTAGTGGCTAAAGTCCTTGCCTTGCATGTGCCAGGATCCCATACGGGCACCAGTTCGTGTCCTGGCTGCTCTACTGCCC